GTATGCAAATCTGTTTCAATTTAAATATGTAGAATTAACATGAATATACAGATTAAAAAGTTTACATTCGGTCTAAACTGTTAGTTTAAAAATGCGTTTGAAACCGTATACATGTGTAGATTTGGGCTTAGCATATATGTTGAGTCAGTCATTCAGTTTCAGTGACTGCTTGTCCTTTCTTGTCACATTGTCTTCAACGTTCTTGATCCAGCGACAGCGTTCTTCTGTCCGAGTTTGCATCATTTCCGAGTTGACATTTTCCCCAAATCGCTTTTGGCTCTGGACTGTCGACTGAGTGAGTAGTGTTTGTGTAACCTTCCTTTCTGGAATCATTCGCAGAATGTGTCCAAACCATTGCAGTTGTGATTACTCAGTCTGGGCAAGCAAAAGCTGCACAAAATGCTCATTCGTATATCTGAACTCAGAATTTGTAGAGACGCTTGATTCCAACGATTTATCTCAGAAGTGCCATTACAGACAATTGTACCCAGGATCGCAATTTTTTAGTCACGATCCATGGTTAGGGCTCAAAATTAAGTATATGCATGCATAATCGTTGTGTTTATGTACACTGAAACAGATTTTCACATATGGTAATTTATTTCAAAAATTCATGTACTGATCCATATGTGATAGACCTGCTCCAGGGAGCCGTTTCGCGTACTTGTCATATGATCTGCCTCTTAGATTTTCAGTTTCAAATGCTTGCAGGCGCTATTTGGGAACTGTGTCGCGAAGCTTGTATACTTAGCCTCGCCACATGGCCAGCTACGGTGATTCTGCAGCGGCTGATTATGGAAGCTCATAGAAAGTTGAATGAAACTGTTTATTGCAGAGTAGTTTTCCGCAACTCGTCGTGTAGAGAACCTAAAGTTGTTGGCACCTACTTTCTGCAGTATTCATATTTCGACGCCGCACAAGGGTACTTACTGAATACGTAGTATGCATACATTTATTTTGAGTTTTGCCAACTCAGAGCTCTTCTGTATCATAACTTGAGAATATACATGGCATATCGTGACTTTTTTTCTCAACGGTATCGACATATTTCATGCGATATAGTGCTTTACATGGAATCTTTGAAAATAATGATTGCTCTGTTTATTTGAAATATTTATGGAAAAGATCGTACTCCTTCAAAGATGTTTCATGTTTTAGCAACAAAAGGGAAAATACAAATTTCTGCAAAAATACTTCCACCGTGGTGCTTTCTTCTTGGA